ATGTTCGTTAGAATACTATTTGTATAGCTTTACACAATCAAACACAGGGAAATTTTGAAACTCCCACATCCACTGCCATCATTCTCATCACTATTGCCACCACCAACAATAAATAAGAACCATCATGCCACCCATTCTGCCTTGTCTCAAAATGTTTGAATAAACTTTTTCCATATAGTTACAGTTTTAGTAATTTCCTATCACTATATTCCAGAGATTACTAACAGGGTTTGCATTTTCCAACTAAACACTATTTGGGGGAATGTTTAACTCATAAATTATTTTTTTTTAAAGACTGCACTTCAGGCAATGAGGTGGGGAGAACTCAGAGTTAAAGGTAGACTTTTCATAAGTGTCCTCAAATCCTACCCAAAAGGCTTATATTCTCATTTGGTTGAATATCCCTTTAGTTTTCATTTGCCCTAAGATAATAGTTATTGAAGTTTGCAAGTTCCATCTCAGTGCCAGGCCCCTAACAATGCTGAGAAAATCCAAAAGTTGGGGCCTAATCTGACATGATGGAGATTTGGGCCTACTTCTTCTTCTATTAGATACAGTGTCTCTGCTTTAATTCCTAGGTCCTTGATCCACTTTGAGTTGAGTTTTGTGCATGATGAGAGATAAAGGTTCAATTTCATTTTGTTGCATATGGATTTCCAGTTTCCCCAGCACTTGGTAGAAATCAAGTTCCCACACCCCTTTGTAATCAAAATCATCATTTGGATACCCTATCTCACAGGACTGGGGTAAAGTTCACTTTGGAAGCAAAATTTAAGGGGCACAAAAAAACTTGGTAACCAAGAGAACTTTTTTTCTTAATCTTTTTTTATTCTAATTTGTTATATATGACAGTAGCATGCTTTACAATTTATATTACACTTATAGAGCACAACTTTTCATATCTCTGGTTGTACCCAAAGTATAGACACACCATTCATGTCTTCATACATGTACTTAGGGTAATGATGTCTATCTCATTCCACCATTTTTTTTCTATGCCTAAGTACCCTCCCTTCCCCTCACACCCCTTTGTGTTATCTAGAGTTCATCTGATCCTTCCATGATCCCCGCCCCCCCCAACCCCATTATGATTCAGCCTCCTAATATCAGAGGAAACATTCAGCCTTTGTTTTTGGGGGATTGGCTTACTTCACTTAGCATTATCTTCTCCAACCCCATCCATTTACCTGCAAATGCCATGATTTTATTCTCTTTTAATGTGGAATAATATTATATTGTGTATATATACCACATTTTCTTTATCCATTCATCTACCGAAGGGCATGTAGGTTGGTTCCACAGTTTAGCTATTGTGAATAGTGCTTCTATAAACATTGATGTGGCTGTGTCCCTGTAGTATGCTGTTTTTAAGTCCTTTGGGTATAGACTGAGGAGTAGGATAGCTGGGTCAATTAGTGGTTCCATTCCCACTTTTCCAAGGAATCTCCATACTGATTTCCATATTGGCTGTACCATTTTGCAGTCCCACCAGCAATGTATGAGTGTGCCTTTTCCCCCACATCCTCACCAACACTTATTTGTATTCTTACTAGCTGCCATTATGACTGGAATGAGATGAAATCTCACTTTTGAATTGCATTTCTCTAATTGCTAGAGAGGATGAACATTTTTTCATATATTTGTTGATTGATTGTATATCATCTTCTGAGAAGTATCTGTCCAGTTCCCTGGCCCATTTATTGATTGGGTAATTTGCTTTTGGGAGATTAAAATTTTTTAGTTATTTATATATCCTAGAGATTAGTGCTCTATCTAATGTGTGTGTGTGGTAAAAACTTGCTCCCAAAATGTAGGCTCTCTACAAAATGTAGGCTCTCTTTTGCTAAAAAGATTTTTAGTTTGAATCCATCCTATTTATTGATTATTGATTTTAATTATTTTTTACGCTATAGGAGTCTTATGAAGGAAGTTGGGGCCTAATCTGACATGATGGAGATTTGGGCCTACTTTTTCTTCTATTAGATGCAGTGTCTCTGGTTTAATTCCTAGGTCCTTGATCCACTTTGGGTTGAGTTTTGTGCATGATGAGAGATAAAGGTTCAATTTCATTTTGTTGCATATGGATTTCCAGTTTCCCTAGCACCATTTGTTGAAGATGCTATCTTTTCTCCAGTGTATGCTTTTGGCACCTTTGTCTAATATAAGATAACTGTAATTATGTGGGTTAGTCTCTGTGTCCTCTATTCTGTATCACTAGTATACCTGTCTATTTTGGTGCCAATACCATGCTGTATTTGTTACCATTGCTCTGTAGTATAGTTTCAGGTCTGGTATAGTGATGCCAGCTGCTTCAGTATTCCTGCTAAGGATTACTTTAGCTATTCTGAGTCTCTTATTTTTCCAGATGAATTTCATGACTGCTTTTTCTATTTCTTTGAGGAATACCATTGGGATTTTGATCAGAATTGCATTAAGTCTGTAAAGTGCTTTTGGTAGTATGGTCATTTTGACAATATTAATTCTGCCTATCTATATCTTCTAAGGTCTTCTTTAATTTCTTTCTTTAGCATTCCATAGTTTTCATTGTAGAAGACTTTCACCTGTTTTGTTGATTCCAAAGTATTTTTTTTTTGAGGCTATTGTAAATGGGGTAGTTTTCTTCATTTTCCTTCCAGAGGATCTGTCACTGATACACAGAAATGCCTTTGATTTATGGGTATTAATTTTATATCCTGTTACTTTGCTGAATTCATTCAGTTTTCTGGTGAAATTTTTTGGGTCTTCTAGGTATAGAATCATATTATTGGCAACATTTTAAATGCAAAACTTTAAAACCAAAATTAAGGCAAGTATTTGAGATAAAAAGATGTCAAATTCTTAATGAGAATCAGTATCATCAATTTTTTTCTTTCACTTTAGGTTCCAGTACAGTTCAGTTTAACCTTCCTGAGTTGGGTAAGGATAATGGAATGTGCCAAGAAGATAAACCTGTGCTGGATGCATCATTTGTCATTGGGGGAACACCAAGGAATAACCATAGAGAATTTCAACATTCAAAATCTGTTTTTCTCACATAACTGCTGCCTTACAGGATATGCCCTGGAGAGATAGTTCATATCCTAGTCCACTTCTGTTGCTCTAACAAGCTTAGTAATTTATAAAGAAAATAACCTTATTTATCTCACATTTCTGTAAGTCTAAGAGCATGGCACCAGCACCTGCTTGGCTTCTTGTAAGGGCCACATGTTAGCTCTTTGGAAGAAGTCAAAGGAAAGCAGTTGTTTGCAGAAAAGGTCACATGGCAAGGGAAGATACAAGAGAAAGCTGAATTTGCTCTTATTATAAGCCCCCTACTAGGAAAATTAACCCATCCTCATGAGGTAGCCTAGAAGAAATATAAAAGGTAGAAAGGATAAAACAGGGAAAAAAATTTAAATATACAACTTGAATCTAAAAACCTCATTCTAAGCCAATTAGTTCTTCTACCAGGACTGTCACTCCCAAATTTATAGGAAATCTGTAAATCTTAAAGTTACCAGAAATCCACCCACTTATGAAAATTACTTTGAATAATGTAATTAGCCTACATAATAAGTATATTAAGCAAAGAAGATAAATATCATGAAGCCTATAATCTATGGTACTTTCCAAACGTTACCTACTTACTGATCAGATAATGGAAATCATATCAACAGAAGGATCTTGAGAACCACATGGCCACCATAAACTGTTTTGTGATCACCAGACTGATGTCATCTCCACTTACCTTCCCACACCCAACCTTCATCAAATTTCCATTAAAAGAACCCAAAACCCCCAAAGCATCTATCAAGGTGACTTGCATTCTCCCTTGAATGTATATTTCTTGATTTTTCTTTCTTCTTTTTTTTTTCTGAGATAGAGCCTCACTAATTTGCTGAGGCTGACTTTGAACTTGTGATCCTCCAGCATCAGTCTCCCCAGCTGCTGGAGACTTCTTGCTTTCATAAATAAATCTTTGAGCCTCTAACATATCCTTAAGCTGATTTCCAAGATGTTTGCTGGGAATCTTTAAAGAGACTATCACATATTTGTAATAGGCAGTAGGTGCTTATTCTGTAGGAATGGATCCTATGGAAATACCTTGTGGGAATTTTGTTGTTCCTATTCACCTTTGTGTCTCCCTTGCTTAGGACACCAGCACAAAGTAGTCATTCAATAAATATTTGTTTATGAATGCAACTTAAGATAATGAAGACATAAAACCCTTACCCAAATTTAAATCATAACTAGGGGGCAGCTGTTAGAAGAGTCTTAAGTCCAGCAAGTCCTGTGTTGCAAGGAATTGCCCCATTAAAAACAGGAATAGAAACTGAAATAACAATATGAAATCAGTTGCTTAATTCTAAGTAGTAGAAAGAGAAAACTTGAGTAGTAAGAACAATCCCTGAGTAATTGCAGACGAGAGAGACCTCTGATTACCAATAAGGAACTAACTTGGGAAAACCAGAGGTAAACCAGAGTTAATCACATAAACAGGGCTTACTCATCACAATTCTTAAAGGATGGTACACAAAAAACGCTTTGTAACAGGGAAAAAAATGATGAGTAAAGTAGGAGAAAAGCGTAAAACTATTTTATTTTTATACTGATGGGTGAACTCTACAGAAAATCTGAATATTTTCATGTTGAACTAAAGAGTGCATAGATAATAACGATCCACTCTTCCTAGTCTTGAATACATAGCCTTGGTACCTAAAAAGACACCATAAGAAAGGCTGTTTTCCCAAGAGACAGGATCCTGCTAGCCCTGAATGAAACTGCTCTAACCAGTATTCAATGTCCTGGTGTTTATTTCCTAGAAACCCCGGCTCGATGCCCGCTACGTTGGTGCTCACCTAGTGCCAAACCAGATCCAAAGGGTCGCAATGCGGACTCTGAACTGGGCCAGGAACAGAGGTACTGACTCCAGTAGCCCAAGCGCCCTGCACTCAAGAGAGCCAATGGCCATGGAGCTAGGGCGGGACCTCGGGGTACCGGGCCAATGGGAGTGAGGCGGGGCTGGAAGAGGCGCCTTGCTCTCTGGGCGGTGGCGGGCTTCGCAGCCTTGGCAGGACCAATGCGGGAACCCCCAGGGGCTGTGGCGTGCGCCGCGGCCGTCGGCAGTGCACTCTTCCTGCTGCTCTTCGCGCTGGGGATCCGTCAACTGCTGAAGCAGAGGCGGCCAGCGGGTTTCCCCCCGGGGCCAAGGGGGCTGCCGTTTATCGGCAACATCTGCTCCCTGGCCGCCTCCGCTGAACTTCCTCACGTCTACATGAGAAAGCAGAGCCAGGTGTACGGCGAGGTACAGCCCCGACGGGCCGCGGGCAGGGAGGGCAGCTTTCCTGTGTTCAGGCCGGCGCGGGCTGTCCTCCCCTGGGGAGACCTTTCTTGCTGTTCTGACCGCCTTTTGAGGGAAACTCGGTCCGCGGGCCAGGAAAGGAGGTGCCTTCGACCCAGCGACGCATCCCAGGGGCAATTAGGGAGCGACTTTCCCCTCTCCCTGGGCGCTCCCGCTGATGCTCCCGCGCCTGCGCCCTGGGCTCTGTGGACGGAGCCGTCGCGCCCCCTGGGGGCTGGCGCGTGCGCTCAGCCCAGCGCCTGGCGGTGGGAGCTGCTCGGCCCTGTGGGCGTGCTTTAGATTTCAACCCTTGGCATGTTCAACAGGCTTCTTGAGTTCTAGGACAGAATTAGTGGTTAGTAGACGGTTCTTCGATATTTGTAATTGACAAATGACTAGTCAAAGCGTTTGCTCTGCGGATGAAAAAAAAAAAATTTAGTTGAACGACCCTAACCTAGAAGTGAGCTCTGGTACATGATTTTGAAAAGTATGAATGAATTATTGGTCAAAATCTGGTGAAGAGCCCTACAGCAGCATAGCGGGAGCCAGACTGGCCAGGAACATTCTCACAGCATGTACTTATGTGCCAGTGTCATTGTCAATTCGTTCTCATTTAAAACTTCCTATCCAGTGAGGTACTTCTGGCTTCCCCCATTAGTCACAAGAGAATTATG